TTTTGTTGGAAAAAAACTGCGTTTGCTTTCGCCTCCAGGAAAATAGAGTATTCGATGTACCATAACCATATACGAGTACAATAAACGACACACACACACACACACACACACACACACACACACACACACACACACACAACGTAAAAAGGGATATTTATTTACTCCTGTTAAGCTCCAGTCGCGAAATATTACCTCTGGTTTTAATTTCTCTCAGCTTACGCGATAATTCATTCCAAAATCCTCTAAAATAATAAATATAATAATAATAATAATTTTATACGCAGACGATAAGGGAATATATTTGTGCGAAGAAAATCATATAATTTCGTTAGGAAAAAATGTTGGTTCCGGATAGCCGGATAGAGAAAATAGCCGGTTTTACATGACAGCGCTAATAATAAAGCGTATCCATAAAAGGATAATTAAATATAAGCAGTTATGCGCAAATGATTTATCGTTGGTTACATTTTGCACGGTGAAATCTTTTCATGCGCATCACTCATACGTTTCGCTATTACTCGGGAAACGAAAAGACGTCGCTCACGAGAATCTTTATTCGAATTTATCATCCCGGCACGACAACACCACGTCGATGCGGAGTAGCTCGACTCGTCGTCGTAACTCGAATCGAAGCGCGACCGTCGTTACTCATTTTTACGATTCGCAATTCCGCGGGAGCACGTTAATCGCGCGGCGGTCAGCTCGCGTTCGCGAGCAAGAAACGCAACGGATCCGCCGTGTAATCACGAACTTCGGTAAACGTTCGTGCGCGACGATGGTTTATCGTTCCGGTCGTCCGTGCGCGGCCGATTATTGTTTTGCCGCTAAAGAGAAATAATCAAACAGCGCTGCACGTGTACAGAAGAAAAAAAGTAGATCAATGATAGATATTCTTGTATATAAACAAGAATATTGTAATATTTCTAGAAAATTTCTCGAGTCTTGAATCAAGACTAAAAATCTTCTGAGAAGATTGTAATATTTTTGCTTAGGGTAACTCCGGTATTTACGTCGCAAAAATGAGAAAAAATAGAAACAGTGAAAATAATTTATCCGCGCAACCACTCTTATATGCCTTTGTATTAAGTTAGTATTGTGTTATGATTTCAGTTTTTTATTATTAATATTAACGAAACCCTCGTGAACTGAATCGATTTCTCAATGCATTTTTGTAGTAACAGTCAATATATTGTTTTTATTTGTATAGTTCATTTGCCTTAAATATAATAAATAATGCTCGATAAATTAAGTTTTTTCCTCAAACGCGGTATATATTTCATACATGAAAATATCTATATCGTTGATTTGAGACTAGTTTTTTTCCGTGTATATTCAAAATAGATCGGCGCATAGGACGTGACTGTTTCACGTGCACATTGTTTTTCTACATCCGATATATCGTTTTTCACGATTTTCTTTCCAGCCACTCGCCCTTTTTTATTGTTAACACGCCTCGATCGGTATTGTGATCACGTTCCGTGATATCGATCACTGCTATCAATCTCGACTATCCGATTATCCGAGTTTTTCAGTAACCGAATATACGGTTAATTTCGAACGTTACAAATGATTGATTTTGTTTTTACCGACAACGGATAATAATGACGTGTGAAATTAGTTGTATATTCAGTCACTGAAAGACTCGATTAGCCGGGGACTACACTGAGAAAAAGATTTCTTCAAATTTAACACATTTTTTATTGTATCCAAACAAATTTCATCATCGACATGCCTCAAAGAAATGTTTCAGTTGTGTTTGTTTCAATTAATAAGCACGATTATTAGACTTTTTCAACGAATATGTATCTTTATCTTAAATAAAAAATTTGAAACGAAAGGTAATTTTCTTATAAAGAAATTATTCGCTCCATATTATATATTTATTGTAACCAAATAATATTTTTTTGATTAAGAGATATTATTTCAAACAATAGCATTCTTTCTGTTAACTAATAGAGTTTCCTTGAATGAGACCATACAATTTTTACTCAAACAAATAATCTTTCGTATATGTTGTTTATAGGAAACAAATTTTAATCAAATAAATCGAAATATTAAATCTAAAGAAACCTTTTTCTCCGTCTACTCGGGTAACCGAGATTGCGACTGCATTAATATCGACTCCTCGGATTGGGCGAAAGTGCGGGCGCGTGTGCCCGCCCCTCGCCGAGGACGGTTTACGAGTAGGTGAACGAACTCAAGGTAAACCGACCGGATGACGCACGGTCTGAAGAACGGAAGAACGGTGGGTGATCACGCAGCGCGCATCAACATTGCAGCATCGTGAGCGCGTGCGTCTATGCAACGACGCGAAACATCACTACCGATAAATGCATCTAATAGCCGACAATCGCCGCGTTTTCCCGCTGCTTTCCCTGCACTCGGCCGTCACGCTCGGTTCCACCTCTTGTTCGGCAGATAAAATTTCCCGCGTAGGACATTTCTCGGGAATTAATCGGTCGATTTTCCAAAATAATTGGGGATTCTAGTTGGGAAATCTCGACGCAACTTCTGGTGAGAAGTTTTCAAACGTACGATTCTAAGCGGGAAACATAGATCAGGCACGGGAACGACTCACTTTCTTCATTTCTCTTCACTTATTACGAAACATTTCACTTTTTCGCGCTTTTAAGGAAAAACTGACTTTCCTCACTTTTTTCGACTAGAGCTTCTACAGAAAATAAACTGATTATGAAAAATCATGTTCAATAATTAGTCTTCTACACCCCCCACCCCTTCTGCCCGCCGAAGTCATTAGTCTGTAGCGAGAGCACGCGATTTGCGTGTACAGCTTTGCAGCAGGCTTTCTTTGTCGTTCCGACGTCTATCTTAACTTCCGACCCAGATCTTTCATCACATTGTGTGTAGAAACGAGACTTAACAAATACATTGGAATGCAAAAGATAGAGCATTAGAAAGTACAGTTAAGCTCGCGTGATGCGTGACGCGTTTCTCTCCGGGAAAATCGACAAACACGAGTCGCAATCGGACGACTATCGCCGGTCGATTGAATTATAATTACTCCGTAATTGCGGAAGCTTCAGCCGCCGGAATACTCTCTCGCTCCGAAAAAAACGCAAAGCGGTGCTTACGAGCGATCGTCGCTTTGTTCTGCGCTGATAGCGCGACGGCGGTGATTTCGCAACTGCGGAAATTGAGGCGCGTTGGTGCGTGGAATATGCGAATTTTTACACCCGTTCTGCAGAAATCGCGGTATAACGGTAGGTGAACCCCGCCAGATTTCGCAATGATGACTTCATTCTCTCGTTATGTGGAGCTCACGTCGCTTTACGACGTGCGCGTATATTCGTAGCGATACGGAACGTTGTTAATTACTTGAGAATTATGTAAAATTACACCGGGTTTTAAAACGATCGGAACACTTTTTTTAAGTAATCAGGAACGTAAAATATTATTGCACAGTGGTCTAAAATAGATCCCATGCAACTTGTATTTCATACGTGTCATAATTATGTTACATATTACATTATTTTAAATGGTGATGGTAAAATTATATATATATTTAATGCTCTAAAAGAAAATATGTGCGAAGGCCTCTCGAAATTAGAAACCCGATCTCATCCTTCATCATCATTCACCGTCATTACGTCCGTTACGTTGGGCGACTTTATTAGCATACAATAGCAGCGAACGAAATCGTTCCGCCGCAATGGCGACAATAGCTCGTGCGACGACGATCGTTTTTAAGTAAACGTGAGCGATTTGAATTCGTATGACGCATCGCTTACGTAAAAGACGCTGCATATCAAAAATCCGTCGGCGTGGACACACGCTATTGGTGGATGTACGGTATCGGCTGTGTTTTTTTGCTCGTCCGTCATTTCATGCGCGAAAATCATGAGTCACGTTACGAAGGTGCCTCGTGGCAAGAAAACGCCGCTCAAATCATTATCGAGATATATCGTCCGCTAAAATGCCATTACTTCCACATAAAATATTATTGCGATACGCATGACGTTTCTTTTCCGCACGTTACACGGAGAAAAATATCATTTTATTGTTAAGAAAATCGACTGTGTTTTCAGTTTATTTTCTTTCTTTTTTTTCAAATAAGTCTAATTATTTTCAACACAGGATATTTTCTTGATAATAGCCTTAAAATATATTCATTACAAATTTGAGCCAAGTTTATTATCATGTACTCAAAAAGAAGAATTTATATTGTATTTGTCTATTCTCTTTTTCATAAGAGTTAATTTCGGTTAATTTGAATAAGCGCGAATAATATTCTTGGTCGAAGTAACTAAACATACTAGGATATATTTCGAATAAATTCGACGTTTATAATGAACTTGATATATTTGTAGATATATTAATTTGTATGAAATACTCGAAACAAGTGTGATGGCATCTAGTTGAATGCAGTGTGTATTTTTCTGCGTGTAAGAATCGCTTACGCAATCGTAACTATATTATTTTCCCGCGCAGACTCGAGACGTTTCGAGTTTCCTTCGCGCCTTCGGCGATCTCACTCGTGAGAATTACGTGGCGGGGAGATCAATACTGTAAAATAAATCGCACTCGGCGTTTGTATTATTTACGACGAGACAGAGAGAGAGAGAGAGAGAGAGAGAGAGAGAAAGATATATGAAATTTCCCTTCACAACTTGACCTCGTGGGGTTACGACAATCGATATGGCGGCCGATGGTGCTATTTTTAAAGACGTTTCAGTGTCATCGCGTATATCGTTCAACGACACTCACCCTCCGCGTTGCACGTTGTCGTTGCGCGAGTGTCCTCGCCGTCTCGACGAAGCGGGGCTCTCGTGGAGAAGCAATTAAAGATCTCCGCGCCGACAAACCCGAGCGGAGGGCTGTGTTGAGTGTCTGATCCGATTACTTCGAAAAGACCCCAGATGGCCGTAACGCGCGCGAATTAATCGCGCCGTGAGAAGTTCGCGGGTGAAGCAACGGGCGGGTTTAATCTTCCAACTTTTGTCGCGCACTAAGTAATAGACCTTTTCCCTCGATTTGTGCAGAATCATGGGTGGAGCTGAGCCCCGTGCCGGAACGGATAACGCCGCAGCCGTTTAGTAGCGCCGGCGAGGAATACCTGCGTCTTCTGCGGGAGGCACAGAGAGACTCCACACACTCGTCCGAGAGGCATTCTCTGGCGTCTTCGCACCGAAACAGCCCGAAGGGCAGGTGAGCAGCGTGTGACCGCCCTTCACTGTCCTTTACACGGAAAAGAATAATTTACCTGCTGTAAAAAGTAATTTCCTAGCTAAACCATCGTTGCCGCTGCATATTCGTATACGGCGATCGAATTTAGTTGGCACAGCCGATTTAACGGATTATTCGTAATTAGAACACAGACAGTTTTGTTGCCGGCAGCTTTGCAGAAGAGAATCCTGCTGAGTAAATTTATCCTCAGGACACGTTAATTCGCTGTTGTTAGGACAAAATAGTGTCTTCCTACATTTACCGATTTGTTTTTACGGCAAAATAATTTGTAGATTCGGCAAAATAATCCAGCAAGTGGCGGTCAGTGCTCTTAACAAATCGTTTTGCTGCCCACGTAGTAACTGACGGATTTTGCCGCGACATTTGCTGTACTAGCAATTAGAAAAAATTATTTTTCTCCGTGTACCATCATGTTCTTTATGATTGCGTCTCATTTCTTCCGGAATATCGATATATATACATACGTTTGTATACGTTCACTTTTTTTCTTTTCGAATTCGAACATTGGTAAAGATACAATAAACAGCGCTGTAAGTAAACACATCGTGAAATCCTGAAAGGAGAAATCTCGTCGGCTGATCGACAAATGATCATATTTGTATCTCTTTGCCTGCGTTCGGAGAGCACGCTATCAGCGCTAACGCGTCATTTTATCTTCGTCCTTCATTAGACACACAACAAAAATCGATCAACCTGACGTGTCTTCGCGTTTTCGTAAACGTAATTTCGGCCGGGCGTTTCCTCGTGTCCTCGAAAGAAAAACGTACCGAAGTCTGCTCGAGTTTTTGGTCTCAAAGCGATATTTCGAAGGCTTTTACGATGCCTCGCGGTTTCGCGAAGTTTCTTTCGCAAAAGCCGAGGATAAAAATTCTCGCAATTAGACGCGCGTCGCTCTTCCGAGCGAAGTTACTCGAGCGAAGAAACAGCCAGGAACGCAGCGAAGTCGAGCCCGGAGAATCGAAAGGCGTCTTAAAGAGAGTCGGCCGACAAAGCGACCGGCCGTTCAACCCGGCGTTTATATATCCAAGTTCTCGACTCCACTGTCGTCTCTCCGCCCGGCGGGCGGCGCAAAAAGCTCGCTTTCCACTTCCCCTGTCCCTTTCGCGGCAAAGGGTCCCGCTGTAAGAAAATAAGCGTCGTAGTCGCCGTCTTCGTCCTGCCTCTCCGAGAATCCGCGCGGCAGTCTCTGCGGACGGAGTAATCCTTTCCTGCGCAACCGCAGCGCCTCGCGAACGCACACGCCGGAATTTCTCAAGGTCTCTCGAGCAGATAAAGCCGATGGCAAAAAGGCGGATGACCTACTGGCAATATCGCGGCGCACTGCGGATTTAGTTTTCGCCGAGCGATAGTTCGCCGAATTTTTCTTTCTTTTTCATCGGCGACTATAATACGCAAGGCTTTGGCAGAATAATTGACACCTCACACGTCCGTTATTCTTTCTCTATGATTTTATTGACTTTCCACCGCGAGCGGCGACGTGCGATTAAGTGCGACCGAGAAAAACACGCGAAGGGGGAGGGGATCTTCTTCCGCTACGTCTCTCTTTCCCTCTCTTGAAGAGCGAAGAACTCGTCAATCACGAAGGCTGACGCATAGCCGCGGCCTACTGATTCGATTATCTCGATCTATATCTGCGCTCTCGAATCGGCATTAAACGACGCATTAAGACCGATTCTTGTGGTCTGAGTCGTGTTTCTCAACGAGCGCGAAAATAGCGACGTCTCTCGTGTCGTCGTCGTTCGCAAAGAAGTCACGGTCCGCGCTCGCAAATAAACACCTAGTATTTATATTTTTTTCCTATATCCGTGCGCACGAATGCGAGACGAACGGCCGAATTAATGCGGTTAACTTGGCGGTCGAAATAGCGCCGTCGTATGCGTCTCTCCGGGAAGGGGGATCTCTTGGCAGCCGAACCAAGGCGTCTTTGCGACTCACGGCGAACAAAGGAGGGCGAATTTTCGATATTCGCACAAAGTGGCCCACCGGGAATATTTCAGCTATCTCGATGTCTGCAATTTTTTAGCGCGGACGGACGTTGCTCTCGAAACACGCGCGGAACGAGATCGATTTGTCCCCTCATCGACGCATGTGTCTTTCGCGAAACGTCATCTTCAACGTGAAATTCACGTCGATGTTATCGACAATCGACCGCGTCATCGGGAATATTCATTGGGGAATCTTTTTCTCTCTCTCTCTCTCTCTCGAATGTGATAACAGCATGTGAATGACACGTGTCGCGGTGTGACACGCGCGCCACTGACGAACCATTTAAATAAACCGCTCCGCTCACCGCGAAGGCCGTATTTGCCTCCGCACCGCGTGGATTATCGCCCGCTACCGGTTTCTTTGTGCGGAATTTTCGGCGAAGAGAATCCCATAGCGGGCCGCTTAATCTGCTCGTCAAATATTGCCGCACCGTCGCGTCGACTGTTTTCGACTCGGCGACGGAAGGACTCGAGTTTCGTCATTCGTTATCGTAGAATTCTACGACGAAACTAAAAGGGAGTTATTAACCGGATAACAATTATCATGATTATTACCCTCGCATAACAAGTTCGGATTGGAAATCCGACCGGATTTCTATCGCTTCCGCGCACTACGTGTGTAAAGCGTCGTATTCCAGGTACTTCACATATTTCGTGCGATACATTTTATCTACATTTCAATATTTTCGAATTTATCGTGGGAATAAAAAGTGAAGAGATCAGTTGAAAAACCTACAAAGTGCTTCTATCGGTCGGATCCACTTTGTTACACGTGTGTGACTGCATGAATCTTGTTACTCGGGGGTTGACATATTTCGAAACGTGACATGAAACGACGAGATAATTGTTCTCTTCGAGCGATTCCCTTCGAGTGAATTCACATTGCACCGGCACGTGTCGCGAGGTGTGCGACTATCACTTAACGTTATCTTTACTCCCTGAATTTCTTGCCGTGAAAGTCTCGCTCGAAGAACAATCGACAATTCCGTCGAAGCGATCGTGAAAATACTGTAACTGGAAATCACAAGAAGGAACGTTTAACACACACTTAGGGTGGATTCTTAATCCACTTGAGTGAATATTTCAGTCGGTCAGAGTGGAGGGAAGCGCCGATCGAATTTCACCGAAGGAACGAGGATCAAGTTGGAGAATAGTTAACGTGCAACCCTGCGCGCATTGTATACATCGATACGGTGCACTTGACACGCATTTATCACGCACACTGTTGTGCGCTCCTGTCGAAAGGACGCATCGGCGATAACGGGGCCCCGATAGCGGAGCGAGATAATCAGCTCTCTTCTTCGCCGTGGTATCGACGTGCCAGGATAACTGCAACGCCGACTGCATTGCGACTCGGCGACGTTCACGCGTGTAGTACGCGATGTCTACGCGGATGTAGGCTCACGGAACTTCCAAGGCGAATATTTACCACGAAGTTACTTTCCTCGCGTGCACTTATCGCAGAAACCGCACCGTTTATCGCGCGTTATAGACGACAACTTGCGACGACGCTCCTCCGCGGACTTACACGCGTCGCGCGCGTAAGAAGACGCGTGGGAAAATGCGCAGGGAATATCGCGAGACACGCAGATTCGTGAAAGAGAACGAGCGGTGTAACGGGAGTATAACGTAATTTACTGAATCAAATATTTATCAAAACCAAACAAGTTTCGGTTGATTCAAGAAAATCATTTATTTTAATACTCTTATTAAATAATTATTTGTTTGAAATTAATATATTTTTTTGATTGAAAAAACGCTTATTTGACTTGAAATCATGATTTTACAAATCATTTTACGAATTTAAAAAAAATAACATTTTACATTTATAAATTTTTTTCTTAAATTTAACGAATATTTATCCAAGTTAAAGGGATATATTTAACAAAATTTGTTTCTTTTATTTTAAGAATTATTTCTCCCGGTGTATAAATCGAATAAAACGATAACGATTGCGCCGTACACAAATTGCGGGCTCATTTGTTGATACAAATTAGCGTTAAGCAAAAAAAAGGAGAGAAAGGAGGAGAGGCAATATATCGAATGTTTTATGTATGTTCTGACATTGTTAGAATTACATAATGTTAACCAGTTAACTGTGGCGATCTCTTTGCAAAGCGCCCACCAGTGTGTGTCGCGATAATCAAGCGAGTTAGCTCTCAGGAAGTTATAAATCCAACTCAAATTATTTATAATATTCATTTGTTCGTTTCATTTCGTCTTGACTTCTAAACATTTTACCCATATTAAAATTAACGAATATAATTTAGTTTTCGCCAGAATTACAATTAAATATCAAATTGTAACAAAATTTTACCCATGACGGATATAGTCGTCAAACACACTTAACTGGTTAAATTGCTCTAACATCTGGGATATTGAAAAAATAAATCGAAAAAGGGGGAGAGAAGGATAAAACGCGAAAAAAATACTCCGCCGAATGAAATTTAATTATTCGTGGTGCGTTTCGAGTATCCCGAAAAATACGTGGAGGGTCGTGACATGTCGAGTTCTTCTCACACGGATTTCGACATGGGTTTTGATAGGTCAATATTAAAACATCCTTCAGAGAGAGAGAGAGAGAGAGAGAGAGAGAGACGAGAGACGAGAGAAAAGCGTGCAGGTGATTAATTAATTGGGGAAAATAAAAATAAGAATATCAATAGAATCGGTTTCGAGAGCGTTCGATTGATCAAAGAACAACAACAAAACATTGATTAACACGTTGACTGCCAACTACGAGATATCTCGTAGATTGTTTACATGCCCAGAACGCCAACTATGAGTTATCTCGTCACTTCATTACTTGATTAAATCAAATTGGCTTCTTAGACCAGAATCGTGAAAAGTTCCGTGGCAGTCAACGTGTTAAAAGGCAGCCCTCGATGGAGGGGTGCGCTCCCGTTTGTAAATTCTAACACAGAGTTTCCTTAAATTTGCAGTCCGAAAAGCCCGCCGAACAGCCCGAACACGGAACTGTCGATCGAAGATGAGCTCAAAGGGGTCTATATAAATTACAGCAGCAGCAGCAGCAAGGTCAGTTCCGTAATCGATTCTTACTACGCTGTGTGTGTGTGTGTGTGTGTGTATGTGCGACTATAGGAAGCCTCATGCGCGTCCGTCCGCGTGTGCACGACTATATTTACTTTCATTATGTCGTGCATGCACCACGAACGCGGCCGCTGCGAAGTTGAGAGCGAGCCAGCGCCCCGGAAGTGTGTCGGGATCGCGATCGAATTTTCCTCACGTGAATATAGACGATAAAACAAAGCCGTTTGAAGTTGACGGCGGCTAATGCAAATAGTGGATTAATGTCATTATGAAAAAAATTAACTTATTCAGGGATCAATATCTTTTTAAGCGCCGGCGCGAAGATTTTCGCTGAATAAAAGACGCGAACATCGTCTACGCGTACGTATGCCCGATGGACGATAAAGCGTTTGCGCAATATCGATTTGCGTCGCGCGTCATGTCAGTGTTTTATCTCCGATACACTTTGTTTCGCAATGCACGTAAGGGAGAATAAACTTGGTCGAGCGTCGCGCGACAAATTTTACGTTCTCGCGGAACGAGCGCAAAGTGTCAGCCGGCGAAGTCAACCACGAGAGAGACGTTCGTTCCAATTTGAAGATTGCTGTGGCTCTTAAAGTAATCGCTCCGTGCAACTTGTCCGTCGTTTATACTTCGCGTTGTGCCCCGATTTGAAACTTTTCTCTCCCTCTCCCTCTCTCTCTCTTTCTCATGCAACGATTACTGTCCCCTATCCGTCACCCGCAACCGTGACTTCTGAATATTTACGTATTATCTCCCATCCGCTTAGTAAACATTTTATACTTGTATTAAAATCGGTCCTTGTTAAAATGTTTGTGTTAAATGTTTAATATCGTGTTAATTTAACATATTGTGTTTGTGTTATCTCAATATTTTGCGTGTTGAGTCGATATTCAACAAGAGTAAGTAGTAAAACAACACTTCGATTTTATGCTTCTCAGTGTCGATTAACACATTACGGATACGAATTTTGTCTTAATTTTTGACATAATGTTTGCGTTACTTTCCAGCATATTCACCTTCTGTTAAATTAACACGAAAATTTGCGCGGACCGTTTGGGACATGTGAAGTGTGTTGAATTTGACACAAAAGATTTTGCTGTTTCGTTTAGAAAATTTACTCTCCAAACGTTTCGAGATTTTTCTCCCACGTGACGATTCTATCAAAGTGCGAATCTAAAGTTGTTTTTCAAGCCGACAGCTTTACGAGCGTCGCGGACGCGCGAGAGGATTCGAGATTTCCTCACTTCGTTACGATAACGACGCTAACGTTTATTCTCCTCTTCCCTTCCTCGCAGTTAGTCCGATATAATTGACTGTTAGAGACACACGAGGGCAGAAACGATATACATCGATTGACTTTAGTTCGCAAAGAGAGCGTAATAGGTGTACTACCGTCGTCTAGAGCAGTGGACGATGTGCAACTGGTTTTATCGAACGAGCCGTTCCTTCCATACAAGGTCTCCGGATCACTGACTCCATTTAGCGTTGTGCCCTTTCGAACCGTTCTCGCGAATCGCCCGTGTCAGAGTCGTTTAGAGAGGATTTTCTCGCTTCTCCGGCTCTTCCAGCCGCTCTTTGCGCGGAGAAAAATAATTTGCTGCGCGGAAAAAAAGAATTAGCACAGCTAAAAACTAGTATCTGCAATACAACTGAAATTTACACACTGAGAGAAAGAAATTTTAATTTCGCGAAGTAAATGTTTCTCGTGACATTTTTCTCGACACTTATCGGTTAGGAAAACATTTGACTGTTACGACGCGATGTATATTTTTCAGAAATATACCTGAGATTTTTTTATCAATTAGCTTATTTGTTACGAATTAAACGAAAGCGCACTAAATGTCGCATAAATTTAATCAGTACATAAGTTACGTAATAATAAATCACGAACAAGGTGACGATGTTGACTCGACCGGAAAAACGCGACATTACTTGTGGATGCCCGAAATATTTTCCTCCCCGTGTCGGATCCGCGTTGCACGCATCGGTACGATCGAATGAACGGGCAATGAGATCGAGCAGCACGTCGATTCCCTTTATTTCGCGCGATTTAATTTGCGGCCTCGAAATATGCGCGACGGACAGTCAGCCATCGGCGAACAATCCTCGTAATCTGCGCGTTAATCAAAGAGGTGCGCACGCGCGTTCAAATGAGCATGCGAGCGAGCGGCGCAGGTGAAAAGAGCATTGTACCGGAATCGAGCGGACTCGAGCACCCTCGCGCGGCTCGCAGTGTATAGTCGCGTTCAACTATGCACGGGACGACCCCGTGACTAAAACAATTTGCATGCAAATGCCGCGTTATCCAGCGACTATTCACGCTGACGAGTCGCATGCGACGCAGCCGCAGCTTGTCTACCTTGATATGATCGTCGAAATCCCCTCCTCCTCTCTCACTCTCTTTCTCTATCTGCGTATCTATCTGTACATCCATCTCTCACGTTCTCCCGTGATTTCCCTGGAGATAAGCAGAAGGTCGCGCGATAAGGCATCGTTTCCTCGTCGCGCGAAGCGACGACTAATCGAGAAACAACGAATAGGACGGTCCGCCGCGACTGCTCGCGTTTTCCAAATTCTTAACGCATCGCCGATCGAATAGAGAGTCGGTACACATGACATCTCCTCGATTCGCCACAAAGGTGGCGTTCGGACTCGATATAAAGCACCATTCTCTTTATTGTGATCTGCTTGCCGATGCGAGAAGCGGCGGCGGCGCGCGAAAATAGCAACAAAGACCGACTGTATCGCCAGAGTATGAGTAATGACGATAACAAGCGGCACAGAAACGCGTAAGGTTTTTTCATGAGTCACTTGCTGTATTCTTTAGCGCCTCTTCGCGTCTCTCGCGGCCGGCGTCTTTGTGCTTCTCGCCGCCGCCGACAAGGGAAACGTCGGCGCGGAAAAGAGAAGGAAAAAAAATCGCCCGGTGGTTCGATCACAGAAATTCCACCGTTCCTCATCTCGGGGGCGATTATTTCCCAAGGCTCCATTTCGCACTCGGTGAACTCACGTAATCGGAGCGGATCTCCCGCAAGATTCACCTGGGAATGACCGCGCGGGGAAACGGTCGATTAATTTAATTATTATCGTTATCGCAACGCGCTCAACGAGATTAAACCCCACGCAGCGTGGGTGGTGGGAAACAAGTGTTTTCGTCAATTAAAGATTCACTTTGTAAATATGCATGTGTATATGCGTGTGCGCGCGCGTTTTTATATTCCCGCGCCCGGGAGATGTGAACACGCTCGTCGCGGAGATGCGAGTTTACGTGTTTACCACCACCTGGCAGAACGATGTATTTACGCGAATTTTTGCGGGAGTCACGTGATCGCAAACAAGAACTGTGTACAAACAAGTTCGCAGCAGCAACAGCGCGGTACTAGTTAGAAAATAATTCCTTGTGTCCGCTTTTAGTATGTAACACACATCGCGAAATTGGATCTTTTCCAACTCGCGCGAGGTCTATGCACTCTCTCTCTCTGTCGAGCGCGCGCGAGCATACGCGTAATCCAGACACTTTTATGGATCATACCGCTTCTTACTTTCCTTCCCCTTTTACATTAATCGCTGAACAGCACCGTGGAAATTGCCGGGGAAATGCCGGGCTCGATGTTTTTCCTACTTTCATTCGTCATTACGTCCATCAGTAACGTCGGCGAGCTATTTCCTCTCCTGTGAGATGCAATTTCACCTAGGTGAACGTAACGTCGCAAAGCAATTAACACGGTTTTTGCTCAGTTTACGGGACAAGAATGCAAAGATGCAAGCGGATTAATTCATATTGCCGTCATTTTTGTCAATTTCTTGCGTTGAAATTACGTTTCTCAGATGGTTCTCTTTGTTTTTGTTTTTTTTTTTTTCGTGAATCAAATATCTCGTATATCGAGATTGCAGACTTAACTTAATTTTATACCCATATTTTATCAATTTATTAGTTCTCTAATGAAGTTTTTTAGTTTATAATAGTCCTTTTACACGCATAGAAATTTTGCAAGATCGTGTAAAATACATGGAGAAATATTGTAGTAAAAATTACTACAATATGTAGTAATTTGTGGCGCTGGATTATACCGGAATTATTATCGAAATTATTATTATTTTATGTATTGTAATATTTAATGTGTACACATAATATATATAACTAGAGATTGCAGTACACAACTTAATTTCATAATTCCGTCATAATTCTGGTACGGTCTAGTATCTGAAAATTGTGTGGCAATTTCTACACATGTGTGCAAGTCGGATTTGCTGTGTGTAGAAATGTGTAATTTCGGTTTTGGCGAACGTCCAACGTGCACGTTATCGTTTGCAAATCTGACTTAATTTTATCTATATTTTTATCATATCATATCAATATCTATGTTTTATCGTTTCATTTTATTAATTCTGTATCTACATTTTATCATTTCTGTAATGAATTTTTTTGTTTACTTCGCAATAGTCCTTAAGCTCTGAAAAATTCCGCAGAATTCTGTCAAGTATACAGTACATCAACATACAATGTGTACTTTCGTTCTTACCGAGCGCAAACTTAAAGGCAGATACACACGTCCTACGAGATAACGCAAATAGATCCTTCGCTAATTAAATGTGCCAACGCGCCACGATAATCACACCGTCGTCGAAGTCGCACTTCCCTTCCTCGCCTGCACCGAGAGAAATTATAGTGTTATAGAAATTATTCCCGGCCTCAGTCATACCTTTTTTTATGGTTTTAACCGCAAGAAAAAATAGCAGTAGCAACATACACGTGACCTTATTATCACTCACATTTATTGTAACATTTACTAGAAAGACTAGGTCATTCTTTCCCTTGTGCGATTATAATTACAAACACCAAATATTTTTCTCTCGGCGTGCGAACGTGATGAAAATCCCAGAACCGTAAGAGTAACCCTCGCGCGCGATCTCGCGAGTAAGACGCATATCCTGCTTTTACTCTTCTTCTGCTTCTCGCTCGGAGAACCGGTCCGAGTTTA